CCCTTCCTGGGGTCCTGCATTATCTGCAGACTGAATGGCGCCGCCATGAGCGCCAGCGCACCGCCTGGGCTCTGGAGCGCAGCCGGCTCCTGGTGGGGGGGGGGGAAGCAGCGAAGAACATGCTGCCGCCGTTGCCTGCCTCCTGCTGACTGACTCTTCCCCGCCCCTGCGGGGCCTCCCTGTCGGCGCGTCCCAGTCGTCGAGCGTGGTGACCAGTATCCCACCGATGTGGCCGCCACCGCTTCGGCTGTCATGGAGCACGTGCGCCAGAGCACCGGCCTGGCGCTCCCCTGGCGCGTGTGCTGGCAGTCGACTGTCGGCCCGCGGAGGTGGCTGTCCCCCTCGACGGAGAACAGCCTGAAGGCCCTCGGCCGGCAGCGGCGCCCGGTGGCCCTGGTGGTTCCGGTGGCCTTCACCTCGGACCATATCGAGACGCTGCACGAATTGGACTTGGACTATGGCCCCCAGGCCCAGTCGTGGGGCCTGCAGCGCATCGTCCGCGCCGAGAGCCTGAACCTGCACCCGCGTTTCACGCTCGGCCTGGCCGAGATTGTGGCCAACCATCTGGCTGCCACGAAGGACGGCCGCTCGGACCCGGCCGGCGCCCTGTTCACGGCCCGCTGTCTTGGCTGCACGAAGGAGTCTTGCCAGGAGACGCGGGACTTCTTCGCCGAGCAGCGGTCTCCGTGCTCGGAGCAGAAGTAGAGGCGGAGCCCCCCTCTCTCCTTCCCTGCCGGGCTCCATTCTGCAGTGCGCGGGCGAGTTGGCTTCGCCCCAGATCGCGCATATCACGGACCCCGGTCACGTGCATACATACCTCGATGCATACCGATGATCTTCCCGGGGCGTGTGGCCGGAGCCCGGGGCGGGCGCGGGCGCGGGCGCGGGCGCGGGGGTGCTCGCCAGCATGAGGGGTGGGAGCTGGAGATTCAGACGGCGGTCGTCGCGGCTTCCGGGCTCCCTGCGCTCGGGCGGGAGCTGTTGTTTGAAATGACACTTGTAGCCGGGCGGGGGGGGGGAGGCGGGGCAGGGGCACGCAAGGGCGACGGAGCCCACGCACCTCCACGCCAGCGGCATTCCTCTTGTCGCGGGCGCGATCGGGGTGGCCTCTCTTCACGGCGGGGCTCCCTCGCTGGGGGGGGCGGGGGGCGGCAGTGTGCCAGCGCTGGGGTTTGGTGGCGCGGGCTTGTGCACGGGGTTCACCTTGCACCTGGGCATCGGGGGCGGAGGGGGGGGGGGGGGGGGGGGGGCCACAGACCTCGTTCGGATTCGTCTGATAGGGCTGCTCTCCCGCGTGCATGTGTGTGTGTGTGTGTGCGCGCGCGTGCTCATGCTGTATGATGAGTGTAATTTATAAATATCGACATAATCAGGCCCGAAGCCCGCTTCTGACGAGCGTTTACCGGCCTCGCATCCTCTCCCGTGTTTGCGAGCGCAAGCCGCGCCCTCTCGCACAGGCCCGCATTTGTGCCTCGACACATGCCTCGAGAAGACCGTTACCGGGAAACCGGTGGCCCCCGATAGGCGGCGGGCGTGTGTGCTCCCCGGCTTCCGGGAGTGGTCGCCCTGCCCTCCGGCGGATGCCGGCCAAATAGCGAGCGAGGGTCCCTGACACGGGAAACAATAATACACAAACAGGCAATGACCCGGGCGCCGAAAGGCGCGCGTCCGCCTCCTCTCCCGCACGCGCGCCCGGACGCGCGGCGGGGTGATATCCCCCGGCAGAGTGGAAAGGTGGATTCCCCCCTCTCCTTCCCCCCGGGGAGCGGGGGGGGGGGGGGGGGCAGGGGGGGAGGGTCTTTATTGGGAAGTGTACCCGCGCGCCGAGGTGCCTGCCAGCGCGTGCATTTGCCCTTGTTCCTGGTCGTGCTTTGGGCTGTCAAACATCGCGGGTTCCGTCCGGCGGCGAAGAGGGAAAAGCAAGAGACCGGCATTCCTTGCTACCCTTCCGCCCTTCCGCCCTCCCCCCGGCCGCGGGCGCACCCCCGGACACGAGGGGGGGGGGGGGGACGGGGGGCGGGAGCCCCTGTGCTCCCACCCATTGCCAGGGGGCCGGAGCCATCCCGCAGGGCCGGCGCCCGACGCACCGGGAACCCGCCAAAGGGCACTGTGGCCGGATTTGGCGCGCGCCCGTGTGTGCACGCGCGCGCGCGCGCGCGCGCTCTCGGCCGCCAGTCTGCCAGGAGTAATTCCTCCCCGCCTGGCCGGCGAGTATGGAGGGGTCGGCCAGCGGTATTTCCCCCCTGCCCCAGCCCCGGGTCCCCCCCCGCCCCGCCCCTCCCCCCCGCTACTCCGGGGTGCACACGGGTGCGGATTCGCCTGTGCGAGTCGCCGGGCGGGCGCCCCCTTCTCCTTGCCCTCGCCCGCGGCAATGGCCGCCCTTGCGGCGATGGTTTTTGCCACGGGCCTGGCGCGCCGATGTGGGCAACTCCCGAGGCGAAGGGTGAATCCGGGGGACCGGCTTTTTCGGCCGGTCAGTTGGTCCCTTGCGCCGGTCGTCGCGCATCCGGTATCCTCTTTCTCCCTCTCCCTCCAGCTCGCCCCTCCTCTTCCCTGCCGCCCGATTGCCCGCCCCCTTGCTCGTTGCTCCTCCCCCCCCCACCACCACTCGTGCTCCGGGCTGCACTCTCTTCTTCCCCCCTCTTCCCCCCTCGCGCAGGCCGCGCCGCGCTCTGTGCCAACCCTCTCCCTCTCTCTCTCTCTCTCTCCCCCCCCTCACCGTCTCTGAGGCTCTTCCTTCCAGGTGAGTTTGCCTTTCCTCGGTCCGACTCTCACCGGCCCGCTTCCTTCTTGCCCCCTCGTCTCTTCATCGCATGCCTCCCTCTTC